TTTTACACAGATTAGAAGTTTATTCGATATTTATTTGTCGTAATACCGTGAAATAAATTATATTGTACGTTTCCTTTGTTTCCGTTAAATTTAAAGTTCGTTCGGATTGAAAATCAGGTTGACCTGAGTGGTCATCAATTACAAATGACCACGGTGAAGGAAGAATTATTATGTTAAAGGAATTCTTACATAAATTAAAGAGTTATTCGACGTTCGTTTATTGTAATATCACGAAGTAGTTTATATCGTAGATTTTCTCTGTTTATAGGAAATTTAACGGTTTGCTTATAGTCAGAAAAGTTCTTACGTATATTCACTGTCTCTTTAAATGCAGAAAACTTAATTAGATCGATCGATGGCGATCATTCGTGGGCGTAATTCCACGGGAATTGAGATTAACCCGCAGGAATCCTGGATATCTTATCCTAAGCTCGTAGGATTCGCTAAGATTACTTGGAGAATTGACGTGGAATAAAGTTTCTGACTTCTGTAGCCTCACACTCGACCACTCTTTTTTCTTGACCACTCTGGTGCCCAATGTTTTGAATAATCTACTCACTCGATGATGAATATTTGCAATAAGAATATTCTTAAACATTAATTCACGATTATTCCTTAATTTAATAACGAATACCAAAGTTTAAAAATCTTATCGTCTGTTTTTAAAATCCTTGCTTCGTGTTCTTTCATGCACAATAAATAATTATACTATTATCACAATAAAATTAATCAATTATATACACTTAGTTCATTTACCATTACTGTTAAGTATAATTTTGTATATTTCAGTCGTGTTTACATTTAAATTGGTAGCATTCTCTTTAAACAGAGATCTCCATAATAACCGAATCCATCAAATCGATGATTTCACATGCACACATTTTCCCAAAGCTTCGTCTACCACCGAAACATTCTCTTCTTCGCCGAGATACAATATTTTTCCTCAAGTTTATCCCGAGACACGTTTATCGATTCTTTACAAAGCTATACAGCAGGATGATATCGATAGAACTTCCTTCCGGGAAGGTTAATTTGTCTGAGAACGTACAACAGATACGCAGAATCATTACAATACTCTCGATACACTGCTTCCGATACAAAACACGTAGCATTAACGACGTTCCTTCAACACGGTAACTCACGTTCCACCGATTCACCCTTAATACCCTGGAATTCTGCAGAATCATCCTGCGAACAGACTCGAGTACATGTACCATCCCCCTCTGCGCCGCGGAGGAATCTCTCTCGAGAATTAATGACCTTCTCTAATATCAGAAATTGAAAAATTCATACCGAAATGGCGAGACGTTGTTCTTTTTCACAATGAAATGTCCCCTATGAATCTCGTACTAAAGAAAAAAAAGAAGAAACTGGTATAACGGTGTAAAATGATAGATATAAAAATGTTCTAAAATACTCAGGTGGGTAGAAATAATAATTTACGATCGACGAGCGATACACATCGATCGAGCGATCAATTAAATCCACCGGCTGGAACGATCACGGTCAATTCGACAAGAAGAAACGCCACCGATCGACCGTGTTTTTTCCCAACAGGTGCAACGCCGAAAGGTGTTTCATCCACTTCGCGGCAATAACTCTTCCCGAACGAGCTCTCGAAGGAAACAATCCTGCAGGCCGGTGTGTTTCACCCTGGAGAACCCCTTTCCTCTCTCTCTTTCTCCATTTAAACGACGAATGATAAAGCGACGCAGTTAAAGAGATGGTTCTCTCCCCAGACCTTCGAAGAAACCGCTGAAAGAACTGGTTCGCGTTTCTGCTTCGGTTCTCGGCTACTTATCGCGGTTTCCAACGGGAACCGAGAAACAGTCGCAGGCTAGACGGAGAGTGGAAGGATAAACGTCGAGACGACGAGAGGAGTTATTCGCCGATAAATGGATTAACCCAGCGGGCGGCGAGGGAAACAAAAGCGAGGGAGAAATTGGAAAAATTGTGCCTGGAGGGACTAAATGTTGGGCAGAGAGACAACGGTGGATAGTTGTTTGCAGCACAACTCGCTTCTTTTTTCCCCCTTCTTCAGCTGGTTACTCGATTTGTAGGATTTTTCTTTCGCCTCCTTTCCGGCTGGGATTACCGCTATTACGCTTCGCGAACGTTGCCACCTGGCTTGCCTGTGTGGAACATCGTACAAATAGCTTTGTGTGCCCTGGAATAAAAAAATGTTTGATAAGTCCAAGCTACTGTGGGTGGGATAAAAGAAAGAATCACGTTCGCAGGTTTAATATTTGCTCGTATAAAAAATTTCGCATACGCGAGTGTTGAGAGAATGTGCAAGAGACGTTTCCATTTAGAATCGAGTGCCAAATTTTCCTTCGCTCGTCAGGAGGTACACCTCGTTCCCAGGGGATAGGAAAAAGGTTTCGAGGGCACCTAATGTATTCCCATAGCGCAGTGTCTCAAAGCAGAAGATAACGTGGAGAGAAAAGGGAGAAGATCAAAGTTGTAATATTTAAGGGGAGACTCTGGTTGAAGGATAGCCAATGACACCTTCGATATATCGCCCACCCCCTTGTGTGTCCCAAAGCGTATACCTCGAAGCTGTCCATCCTAAGTATAGCCAAAAACAAGCTGTCGCCTGACGGAGAAGAATTCTGAAAGGAGGACGTCACGTGGGAGCTTTTCCTCCGAGCTTCGTCCCTCTGGCAATCACGAAAATGGCCTCGATTTTTGATAGGGGTCACCCCAGCGTTGCCCTTTGGAACAGAACCCGAGCAGAAATAGGATGTTCTCCGAAGGAAATCACAGAGCAGGTCTTTGAAGGAAGGACATCTGCAAATTCTTGTTTAGCTATTCACGTTCGTTCGGGAATCAGCCTGAGGTTGTGTACTTTAACGAAAAGGAAGGGAAATATGGAGATCTGAAGAGTGTTTCTGACCCAGAGCCACGGGATGTTTGGCTTGTAAACGGTCGAATTAGCAAGAGGCGGGATGAATGAGCTGTTACCTGATGGGAAAACCGATGAAAGCGACGACATTCCGATTACCTTCGTCCTCGTTCGTCACTGTCGCCGCCCGCGGGTCACCCGGATGTCAGATAGCTACGGCCCTGAAGTGGCCGGAAATTGATAACTCCACGTCGACCTGGACACGGCTATTTTTCAGGGACAAAGGGACGACGCTTGCTCCGCAGCCTCGATTAATGCCCGAGCCCTCTGTTAATTAATTATGCGTGCGAATGAAACCGGAGACGGATCACGGCGACCTGGATACCAGGGACGTTGCAAATAGCCCGAGAGAGAAGAATGTTTAGAGACTACGTAGAAGAGGCGGGCTCGGTGGAAATTGTTCGCGAAGGTAGACTTAGCAACGGACCGACTTTCTTTTGTATCTCGCCCAGACTCTTCGAGAGGTATAAATTACTTTTAGATTAGGCAACTGGGATTCTTTTCTCTGCTGTTCTTCACAGGAGGAAATTGATCGATTTTAGGTCAAATTATCCTTTGAAAGGGGATTGTTGAAAAGTTTTTATCGATTATCATTTCTTCAGATATGGTCAGCAGAGATGTTTCTTTCGTATCTTATCCAGCCACTTCGAGAGGTATAAATTACTTTCAGATTAGGCAACTAGGCTTCTTTTCTTCTTTCTTCAAATTGTCCTTTGAAAAGTGATCATATGATCAGCAAAGATGTTTCTTTTGTATCTTGTCCAGCCACTTGGAGAGGTATAAATTACTTTCAGATTAGGCAACTAGGCTTCTTTTCTTCTTTCTTCAAATTGTCCTTTGAAAAGTGATCATATGATCAGCAAAGATGTTTCTTTCGTATCTTGTCCAGCCACTTGGAGAGGTATAAATTACTTTCAGATTAGGCAACTAGGCTTCCTTTCTCTGCCGTTTTTCACTGAAGGAAATTGAACAATTTTAGTCAGATTATCCTTTGAAAGGGGGATTGTTTGTAGGTTTGTATCGATCACAGTCCCTTCAGATGTCGTCAGCAAAGGTGTTGTCAGCGGGGAAATAAAATTTACCAAGGGTACGATTGTGCCGCGAGTAAGAAATCCTATTTTCATTTTATAAGGACACTGTTGCCTTTAGCGAGACGCCTTTGTTCACCGGTCGATCGGATTTGAGAACAAGGGAATCGACTCTCGTCTCGAAAGGAAACGCTGGTACTGGTAAACTTTGTAACGGTCCCTGGGAATACCGTGCAGGACACTTTTCCTCTATCCGGTTGTGAAAGTTACCGGAGAGAGAAGACTTTAATTTTATTCGAGTGATGCGTAATCGTATCAGACAGCGGGATCCAGCTTATCTCGGAGAATCCGAAAACTAGACGCGAGATTCTTGTTGCCGGCGTGGAATAAGCGCGTGAATTTCTGTAGATAGGCTAGGAGTAAGTACTTGACACGTTCCTGGCCACGGCCTCGCTCGGTTTCCAAGCATCGATCAGCAATTAGTAAACGAGTTTGCTCCGCCTCTTGATACCACCGCGGGAGAACTCGAAGAATTCGCCATTAGCCGTTACGATGGACTCTCAGAATGTAAATCGGCCGTGTCGAGCCTTTGTTCGAGCACCTTTGCCGCCCCTTTGTCACATTGCGAAAAATTCTGTCAGATTCTATCGATAAATTACACCTTCCTACTTTGTTATATATTTTTTCAAAGAGGAAAAAACACGGGAGAAAATTGTTCCTTTCTCGCAATTGTTCAGGTGTATTTCCGTGAGAATTAACCGGAGTAGAATTGTTGGACAGGTTTTTTTGGGATAGAATGCAGAAGAGTGGGCACTTGTCTCTCATCTGGAAAGAGTAGCAGGGTCAGCAGCTTGAAAGTATATCGGCACGAAAGGGTGCATTTTGATCGCGAATTCCGCCACCGTCGCGAAACCGATATTTAACCAACCACTCTGCATACGGACGATCGTCTCTGACCCGTTCACGATTGCTTCTTTCAGGTGCTATATTCACTCATGACCAAAAGGATAGCAGTACAGAGCTGGCCTTCAAGTATGCCGTGTACAAGATCAACAAGGACAGGCTCATCCTGCCAAAAACGACGCTGGAGTACGATATACAATACGTGCCAAAAGATGACTCCTTCCACGCGTCAAAGAAGGGTGAGTGATCGATCGATTTAATGTTTTACATTTGTACAGGGTGTTCCTAACTGGATTGGATGAATTTTCAACGATTCGATTGCTTCTTGAATTTTCTTGCCTATTACAAGAACACCTTGTACAGCTCGTAGCATAAATTTTTACCTACCAAAATTTAATATCAACCCAAGTATCGATCCCCTCACCCTCTGGCATCTTCGTTGCTTTGTGTCGCGATGTTCTTCAAGGCGGTGAACACGAGAAAGCCGAGGAAGTGAGTAAGGAAAGGTATCGAAGGCACGAAAATTGTCTCGTAGACTGTGCTTTGAAGAAAATTCATCAGCACCTTGTATAAGCTGGTCAGGGATAATAGAGTTGGTTGCAGCGGCGTTATTAAAGCATACACATTATCCTCCTTTCTGTCTACTGTCAAATATCGACCACTAGTCTAATCTAGTTCACGATATTACGAAATAATATTTCAGAGCAGAGTAATTCCTTTCTTCGTACAGTCCACTTCGTCAGATCTGCTCAAAGTGAAATGAAATACTCGGAAAAATTTCGTGGTATTTTTAAGAAAATTGGGAGATACAGAGGTACAGCGTGTCACCTGAATTTCATTTATTTACACTGCAATTTCGCGCGTGTGTATGTGTTGTGTAGGTTACTTTACGACGTCGTTAGGTCTACATCACCGGAGTCTTCTCAAGTGAGAAAATGCGAGCTGCACGCTCTCCTCTCTCCGTGACAAATAGAGCTTCGCTACCAAAAAGAGGATTCCGCTAAGTAGAAAAGAAAAATTAGCGTTCTCTTATGAAACTTAGACTTGGTTTTAAAATACTTCTCGTTTCCGATTTAATCGACGCTCAGTTGAAAAGAAAATCCCCTGTTCTATCACGGGGATGAATCCCTTGGAAATCCACGCTGAAATTCAGTATTTACGGAGTAATCCGTCAGCTGCTACCGTTTTCATCGCGTGCTACGTGTCCCTCGCGTAAACGCAGTCTCCGTAGAAAATCAGATCAATGGATTTACTCTTTTTCTTTCCGCGCAGATCGTCCGGCACGCGAGATAGACGAACGATCGAGTTTCGGATCGATGGTACCGACGTGCTCGGTCCACTTCCAACTCCATCAGACACTCAATCCTCTAGCAGAATCCTCTGATTTCCCTTCTTCTTATAAAAAGAACACACGGTCGTCACTTTCTCGCAATTTACTCTCTGGAAAAAAAAAGAAGCACGATGTTGAAAAGGTGAAATACGAGGTGAATGATAATCGATAGAATGGTACGTGTCACACGTAAGGAATAAATCTGTATGTTTGTGGCGAGGTACCGTTTGGCCCAGACCCACCAGGGTTAAAAATCGTCGACGAGGCAGTTTCAGGCCTCTTTAGTCAGCCGAAAGGTCTAACATACGATTATCCGTGGCTACAAGCCAGAAAACGCTTGTTCGATTTTGCTCACATACCTTTTCGAACTCGACCGTCACTTTTCTTCTCCAAACGTCGATTCTTACCTGGACATTGTACCCTGTGTAACGTAAATTCAAATTAAATGTCTAACTTGATTAATTTTACGCGCGATGCTACTAAGCGGTTTATTCGAAAATTATGTTACACGTATAGTTGGGGCTACGATATAGCGAGGTCGTAAATTAAACTCTCAAGAATCGGCATCGATTGATGTTGCGGCACTCAAGGCCGTGTGTTGCAGTCTGTTTGAGGGTTCCAACAATAAACGAATGGTAGCATATGATTTGGTACTTCAAGTAGAAAATGGTATTTCATTTACAAATGGAAAATATGTTAATATTAAGCTACACAATCTTTTTGCACTTTCTATCTGTATATAACACGAGTAGATAAACTAAGATGCTAAAGACATCAATAAGACCTTTACCTGTAACCGTACTTCCAAAAGCGGCTTCCCCCAGAGGGAGAAACCCTAATTTGTCCTAGCTGCATGCATATTAGAATCAGTTGACTTTGGCTGGATACAAGAATTCTTCGTACGGTCCTGACAATGGTTTCAAGTACTTATCTGCTCGTATCTCTGTCAATTTTCGGGTCCCGGAAGCTAAAACATGTTTACTTTGACGTCTGACCGATTTTACGACCTCGCTATATCGTGGCCCCGACTATAGGTCTTTCCAAAGCTAAGCACGAACTGTCCTCAAGACAGAAGGCAAACGTCTCTTATGGCATTTGGGCCTGGTCCCTGTCATTTGCCACGCCATAAACTGTCCCAAATGCCCACACAAGCTTCATCTATCTCACATAAATTCCAGTAAATTTCTGTAGGAGGTTAATGACCGGAGCGGGCCGATCGGTCGAGCTTGTTTTTGTTAGAAACTGCGATACGAACAGGCCAAACAGGGGCCACAGCCTTCCGACGTTCGTTGTTATTAAACAAGAGCGAGTGTGTTTGTGCGACCTAGAGAGCGCATGATAGTGAGAGAGAGAGCGGAGACTTTATAAATAGGGAAAAGAACAGCGAGAGTGATCCTTTTTCCTGCGAAGCGATAAAGCGTTATCAGTTTTGTTTATCTTAATTATATTTTACCAATTTCTAATTGCCTTTTGCATTCCGTCTCCTACATTCTCCCATATCTCTTCTCTTACTAAAAATAAAAATCGTCTTCGACGTAGCCACGAAACAAGCACAATCTCGGTGTCCCAAATACCACCGAGATTAAGCCTGACTCGCCTAAAAAATCTGGCGGATAGGAAACGACGTCGTATTCGAAGTTATTGTCCAAGGGATTCCCCGACAGTCGATCCTCCTCCATTCACTCTTCCAGAGTGTTTCCGTTTACGAGGCGTTCTCTATCGCGACCGAGCCGCCCTTTTCCAACGACGTCGAAGAGAGCTGCCGCTCGAGTCTCGTCTCGAGATACCGTGGAACCACAGGCGGAAGAGACTGTGTCGAGAACACGCGAACACAACGCGCGAGTCCGTTGTTGGTTGGCCATCGACAACGACGACACACGGGCTAGAATGCATGCAAATGCACGCGGGCTCGTGACCGAGATGAAGCTTGCAGGACCGTTTGTTTCGCATAAAGCGTTATCTGCGCCCGGCCGTGGGGCGTTTTTACGTTTTTACGGTTATATGCATACGTGCCGGATAAAACGCCGGTCGGTTATCGGACCTTCTGCCGATATACGCGTAACACGGATTCAGCCGGTCGATTCCGACGCCCCGGCTGAAGGTATTAGGAAGTCGCGGAGGGTTGTTTCCTCTTGCGCGAGGAATTTCCACCGATACCATTCGCTTTAACAGGAGGTATTGGAAACGTGGAAATTATCGTACGTGAACGGAGTCGATTAAGTTATTCGAACGAATGTGGAAAATTGTTGGGTAAGGTGTGGCAAGTTTATTTTTAACGTCTTTATTGTGGCGAGATTAAATGGTACGAGTGTAGGTTGGCTCAGCTTAGTGATATTACGTGTAACCTACATTTTGTAGTAGGTTAGTAAGCTTTCAGAGAGATGGAGACGAGTATGAGAGAAGAATGAATTAAAATATATGTAAAACAAATTTTGCATGAATAATTTGTCATTCGGAATATTTTTTATTCTGTCTCATTTTGAGCACCCTTATTCCGAATGGAATATTTTTTAAAATAACTTAAAGAAATTATATCTTGATTAATATTAAACACTGAATATTTAAAAATACAAAAATTCCGAATTCTACTCGAATTTTCGTCCCCATCGATGCGTCTTCAGCCAGTTAAACGTGTAGTAAATTCGTCCATAGTAGATACGTCGTTAAATCTGAGGTGTGCGAGTGGATTTTGAAAGACGCAACGACGAGTCTACCAAGATTCAGAAGTCGATGTTCCATGCTGGATGGATCGAGCATAAGAAGAAAGCGAGACTCTGTACAACGTCACGTCTTGTCACGTGTTCGAGAGCACCTCTTGAGGTCTCTGTTCTCGATGCCTTGCACGAATAGAGGTGCTCCACGGTTACTTCTCGATCTTCGATCTTCCGCACGGAGCTTTCTCGCCCGTGAACGTGTGTATCCTTCGGTTCTCCTGAAAGAAACTCGACCGTGAGCCATTTCAGGCTGCTCCACACACCACCGCCCCTTTTTTCTAAAATTATTATTCACAGAAATGGAGAAAACGGAACGCGAAATATAATTTGGATAAATGGAGGAAAATGTTGTTTTCTCTATTTATAAGGTCTCTCTCACTCTCACGCACTCTCTAGGTCGCACAAACACACTCGCTCTTGTTTAATAACAACGAACGTCGGAAGACCGTGTCTCCCATTTCGCAGGGTTTTAAACAAAAACAAGATCGGCCCGCTCCGGTCATTAACTTCCTACCGAAATGGAACGTCTCGTTTCTTCTTATTTTTTCTTTCACCTGAAAATTCCGCGACACGTGTTCGTCGAATTTTACCCATGTTCCGCTTCCTTGTGAAGAATATTCGATCCGGCGAGCGTGTGAATGTCTCAGTGGGGAAAGGTAGCAACAGCCGCGCCACCGCGAAATCTGCGAATAATGGAGCCTACGGCTAGTCTGAAAGGTTTGAAGCAGAGATTAAGCCGAGCGTATCTCGCGATCGTATTTCAGAGCCGGGTCAACGACGTTCGTGCAGCCGCTGCTCTTTTCGCGATTTAAGCTTCCCCACGGGTAGCATCTGCGCCCCTATCGCTTCCAAATCGTTCCTCCTCCGAAGCCATTTCGTTCTGTAATTCTGGATATACCGGTCAGCCGAAAATCAACGCCGTTTTATCATTCGTTTCAGTCCTGCGCTCTTGTCTGCGATAATTTCGATGAAAAGAAACCTCTACGGCTAAAGTGTATCGCTTCTTTGCTCGTCTCTCTTAGCTGCACGCTTTGCAATACAGAGTGCATTCTGTCGCAGCGTTGTTTCAAAGCACGATAAACGTTGAATTGAAAGGTGTGCTTAAGACATGTGAATAATACAGTAGGAAGAAGAGGAGAGAGCGATTGTGTGCGTTAACGAGGATCCACCGTCTCTCTTTCAATTCTGTTTGTCA